CACTGGACCCTTCATGTTCCTCCTGCGGGTGGTGGGTCCACAGTTGGATGAGCCCATGTATCCGGTTTGGGCTGGGCCCGGCCCCATGGGCGAAAGCCCGGCCACCAGGCGCTCACTCACGGGCCCCAACCCCAGGCCCGGCTCCAGGGTGGGACCCCGGTAACCCTCTGGGCCGGGTACTCTGACTCCTTGAGAGTTCATCCATGAAAGATCCTCTGAACCATTCTTTGTCTCACCCTTCACCTAAGACCAATTTGTCATATCTCCTAGGATCATTAGGGCACTCAAACTCCACCATGATAAGGTGACGGTTCAAGGAGGAGTTCTAAGGAAGTAAAAAAGCCAATTGTTTTATACACATTATCTTATTTTTAGTTTATATATATATATATAATCCAGAATCAGTGATGCCATTTTACACACAAGTACATACTCCACTCCGCTCTGACTGCCCCAGCCAGGCCACGTTCGTTCCACACGGCCTTAGGAATGCGGACGTGATTGAGCACATGGGCGATCTGTGATGTCGACTGAACTGGGGTCACCAGACTTTTAGAAGCTTAGAGCTACTTCATGGGTACTGAGCCATACGGAGGCAAGTGGTAGGTTGATATAATACTGACCTTATAACTGTAATAGACCAAAGTTAAGCTAAACTTCATTTATAATAAACACTGTTTTTTATATTGTAGTTTTTAAAGCTATTCGTGAATTTGTGAATAAAATTATGGCAGCAGAATTTTTTATGTTTATTGTAAACTATTAGATATAAATAGATGCCCCTTATACAGATCTTGGGTGCACCATGGTGCCAGCGGGCATCAGGTTGGTGACCCCTATCTAGAAAACAGCATTATTTAAAATAAGGTTAATGATCTTAAATATGATCCAAATTTTCTTGTTTTGAGTAAACATATCTGCCAGTGGGATACCATTTTTTGCAGTGTACGGCTGTATAATATTTGTACACGGTTTTGGTTGTACCCTTAGGTCTGTTATTGGGATTTTAAAAATGTAATGTTTACAAATATTTTATTGATAACCTGACAACATCAGCACAAAACAATGTTTGGGGACCAGTGGCAATTTTTGGGAGGCCCCTTGGTGGGTCACAGACCCTAGGAAGGAAACCAGGCTGACTAACTGTAAAATGTGCTTATTTCTTTACTAAATACTTAGTTAATTTCTATAGAAATTACCTAAATTTATCCTATAAGACTTCATGCACCATTGGGTTTAGCTTAATTAAAAGAAATTACTGGATGAGATTTTAATCTGGCGATCTCCAGCTGTGGAAAGTAGTACATGAATATGTGTGTGTGTGTGTGTGTGTGTGTGCGTGCGTGCGTGTGTGTGTGCGTGCATGCATGAGCATGTCTGCTTATCTGTGCATGTCCAAACACCCTGTGGCTGTGAGTGGGCTGCTTTATTCCAGTCATGACAGGCATTTCACAGCTCTGGTATGTGGATGAAAAAAAAAGCTTAGAAACAAATCAAAGCTTAAAAGTATTTCTAATTGCATTTTATTAGGCAATAAAAATAGTAAAAATCTAAATAAATTCAACAAATTGTGCCCGTTGAAAGAGTTCATATCCAGAAGCTTCATTTTCTAATGAATACTTGTCATGTTTGGAGATGAGTCAACATACCTGCAGGTACATGAAATCAGACACCCTGCTGTCTCAACTCCTGTGCTAATTTAAGGCAACGCAACAGTAACAATAAGCAACCAAATCCCCTTGATGGCTGCTTAATCAGTGCATATTTTAACCAATTTAAAAACAAAAACAAACTTCTTCTCTGTCCTAAAGATGGACTCATAAAATGAGGTTTACGATGCATGTGGCGAAGCTTTGTTTGCTACAGATCTCTTTAATAATGGAATTGTACCATATTTGATTATGTAATTATGCTTGTTGTTTTCAATTCAGCATAGGATTGGTCTAGTGTTGCACCAATCAGCGTCATCCTGATTGGTGCTTGTGCAAATTATTTTGGATATTAGTTAATTAGAGGCATATGAGGTCATTGGTGAGGGGTCTTTAAGAAGAACTTAAGAACAACTTAAATATACACAGTTAAAGAAAGCATATGTAATGGCTCATATTCATGGAAGGAAATCATTGGGGGCTTCCTTTATGCTTCAAAGCTCTAGAGCCTTACTTTGAGCACATGGACAAGATGCTCCCTTCTGAAGCTTTTACGGATACTCTGGGCACAGCTCCTTTAATCAAACCAAAGGAAGTTCTGATTGCATTTTAATCACAGAGCTAACAGATTTGGGAAGGTCCTTTCCCGTTTCAGCGTGGCAATATTTCCACCAGACCAAAGAAATCAACACCTAATTTTTACAAAGCAGTTCCTGCGCCCGTTTTTCCATTTATTTTTTCACAAGACTGCATTTGCAGCTGAGATAAACAGGAGAAGCACTCACCCGACGACTCACCACAGCAGGGTTTTTTAGACTGAGCTGCAGCAGCCACAGTCATTCAAAAAATTTAACAAGCACCTGCAGTTTTACTGTAGAACCCAACACTCACAATCAGAAGTAACAAGCTGTTTTCACACACTCGCCTTCAAGGTGGGAATATTGCATCCCATTGTTATGAAGCTAATTCCCAAAATCTGCTCTTCTCAAAACAACACTTGGAAAAACCAGTGCTTCACTGGGCTCTATCTGTTGGCTAATGGAATTTTAGATTTTTCTAAATTTCTCAGAACATTTGCAACTAAAGTCACTCGAGTCACTTTTAAATCAAAATTGAAAACTTTCATGCATTCATCCGCCTTTGAATGATTGTTTCTCAAGCTGCACTGTAACTGCTCAGTTTTTAACTTTGCCTTTTTATTCTTACATCTAATTTAATTTGTGTACGTTTCAATTTGATTTTATAATCCGCTGTTTAATTTAGTCATGTCGAGTTTAATGTTTATGATCTTGCAGATCTTGCACCTGGAGAGTACACTGAATTGCTTCTGCGTATGAAATATGTTATTTAGATAAAGCTACCTTGCATTTGTTGCAGGGCCAATCTCAACTGTCACAGACTACGTTTACATGCAGCCAATATCCGGGTTATGATCGGGTTAAGGTCGGGATTCGGGTTTCTGAGTTGATCAGAATAACCCGTTTACAAGCATAAATAGAAAGAGTTACCTCTAACTTGCATAACCCGATTTAAATGCGGACGTTGGGGTAGCGTCAGGACGTATGGACTACGTCCAGACGCAATATGCGTCATTTCCGGTTCTTCTTGTTCCGGTATCCGTGAAAACAACAACATGTTTCCCAGTTCGGAAGAGATGGCGACCGCGTTTGTTTGCGCTTTAGTTTCCTCGTCACTCCAAAAGTGTGGTGCTGTGCCGCGAATCGCCATGTTGCTCCCAACTTGTTGTTTACTTCCGGTGTTCTGGCGCATACAAGACGTCTCGCTACTCAAAAGACCAAGATTCCTTGCGAACAGAGCATGCGCAGAACACACACTTTGATGGGGATATCCCGGTACGCGTTTACACGACCAAACATTCGGGTTAGAAAAGGGTTACCCCAGGTGTAGTAACCGGGTTTTTAAAAACCCGGTTATGAGCATATCCGGGTTTCTGGCGGTGTTTACATGGACCTGTGGAACCGGGTTATTGTGAATATTCGGGTTTTAAAAGGGTTATTGGCTGCATGTAAACGCACTGACAGTTGTCTCAATGTTGAAATGTGGTTGCCATTATGTCATATGCCTTATAGGGAACATATTATGCTAATCTCAATTTATGCATTCTTTTCTGTTGCCATACATACGTCCATAAGCCATTTCAAGTTGTCGTCAAAAGTGACATCACGATAAAGGAAATTTTGCATAAAACGTGTTGATATTAAAGAAGCTATCCACTCTAGAGGTGGAGGAGCAGCAGCTCAACTCTGAGCCCCTTTCTGAGCTCCAACCTGAAAAATGGATGGGCACTGCAAGCAAGAACTTATTTCATTTGAAGGGCCAGAGTCCAGAAACGGTTTATTCTGAAAGGCACCGAAACTGTCAAGAACAGAACTATGGGAGAGTGATTTTGTGCAAAGAACTTTGCTTAACATGTTTTGCTTTGACCATTACCGCTACAATGGCAAATCTGCAAAACAAGCTAGCTTAAAACATTTTCTTTCATGCCTCTCAACGATGCTCTAACATAACATAGTTATTAATATTGTAGAGATTGTGCAAAACAAAATGATAAAAAAAGTGTTTCTCTCATATTTGTCTATAAGCCTCTGCCAATAAACAAGGCTGAAGTAGTTAAAGTTAAAGTCCTATTAGTTGTCACACACACAGGTGTGTGTGCGAAATTTATTCTCCGCATTTGACCATCCCCTGGGGGAGCGGTGAGCTGCAGACACAGCCGCACTCGGGAACCATTTGGTGGTTTAACCCCCCAATCCAACCCCGTAATGCTGAGTGTCAAGCAGGGAGGCATTGGCTCCCGTTTTTACAAAGTCTTTGGTATGACCCGACCAGGAATTGAACCCTGATCTCCCAGTGTCAGGGCGGACACTCTACCACTAGGCCACTGAGCTGAGAAGTACGTACCCGAAACAATTAAAACTGATTAAACATAAATATCACTTGGAAATAGTGGTACTAATAGAGCGTGGGCCTTAAAATGCACTGAAATCTAAAGACCTCAGGGAGCTCTCAGAGCTGTTAATAATTCATCACAGGCAGTTAAATAAAAGTGGTAGGCAGGAAGTGCAGTTCAACTTCACAACCTGGTAAATTCCTCCTGGTTTGTGCTGCAGGATGGAGAGTACACAACTCTAAATCCCATTCCTGTAGTAACATGTCCGAACCAAGACCACGCATCAGACGGTTTTTGTTTAAGAACAACAGCATTTTAACAGGCAACCAATGTTAATATGGGGACTCAAGAGGATGAAAACAAGATTTTCAGGAAAAGGTGGATCAAAGCGTCATCACGATGCCGTATCTGCAAAAGAAATCTGATCTCTGCTCACTTACCAAAACTCTGTTCTCCACCTTGCCACCTTTGAACTCCAGCTGGACTTTGCGCCTCAGGGTGAGTTTTACCCTCCGACCCACCGCCTCTCGCACACTCTCTACAACACAGGGTGGAGAAAGAAGAATTAGAGGGGGTGGGGGGGTCGTATTACAAGTAATTACACAATGGGTAGAGGGGTTTCAGATGGGAGGAGTCCTCGCTTTAGGCTCAGTTTAAGTGCTGATCAGTATTTATTACGCAAACAGAACTGGCCCACATGCCTCCAGCAAACCAAGGAGCTTGTTTAAATTTAAGTGATTGCAAATTTGCAGATTGTTCATTGTGTATTTTCATTGCCCTTTCAAACTTTAACAAATACAGTGCTACCTGAGCAGGAGGAGGTGTGGAAAAGTTTTTCTTTCTTAAGTTGGGTGGTGGTGGTGGGGGGGTCCAAGGGAAAGATGGATAAGAGGCAGGGAGAAGGTGAAGAAGTCATTAAAACCACTTGACAGAAAAAAAGGATGAGTAGAAAGCTGGAGGGAACAAAAGTAAACAGAGGGGGGAATGTGGGTACGTTTGGGGGGGATATGACATGTATGGCTGAAAAGGGGGACTAATGCGAGCAATGTGCAGGGGAACTCAGGACCGCCTTCATGACATCATACCGTTCCCCTCCTCTACGAACCCAGACGTATGATGAGGTCATGAGACGAACCAAAACATTACAGCACAGAGCAGCGTAGAGGCTGATCAGAACCACATGGGCTCCTCTACCCATCCAGCTCTCACATACGAGAAGGTTCTAATTAGCTCAGAACCTACGACGAGTTAAAGCCCAACAAAGTTTGTACTCACATTCTAAAGTCTAGTCGTAAAGCGACTTAAAAGAAAAATAATATTGCATACTCTTTAATCCTAAATGTATCAAAGATTTAAAACCTGACACTGGTCAGATTATATATATATATATATATAATCAGGGAAAGATGTATTTTTAAGCTTATGTAATTATGAAATTATTTTATTTCAAAATAAAGCTTACTTTTAAAACATTAATAATCTTCATAGAATTAATTATCGTCGAGGGAAAACATTTCGCTTTGTGCTTATGAGAATGTTGTACTTCTTTCACTTAAATGCTATACTGGAACCAGCCACTAGGGGAGTTATTGCTGTGTTTTGAATTCAACATATTAAGGTGCACCAAAAGCAGCTAAATTAATTATGTGTTGTGAAATTTATATATTTCTGATGAATGCAGAAATGTTTTTTGCAATATATCTAGCAAAGCACAAGCAATGTGCACCCCAAAGCTACTCATAAGGCAGTGCAACAATCCTTCTGAAGCCTGAGTCATGCTTCTCCGTCAGCTCCAAAAGGGAGAGGCACGCACGCACAGACGGAGACATGCTGCCCTCATACTTTTCCATCTCCTGGGGAGTGTTGCAAAGCAGTTCCCCGCCAGGACAACAGAGGGCGTAGCGCTGTTCTGTGGTATCCTGTCATTTATCCGGTCCAAGATAGTGTGTTTATATTGTGTTTTTTTGTATATAAGAGACTTTTTAACACAGACCAATTTGTCTCTCATCCTCCTCCACCTCTTCATGCACTCACCACCTCTAACCCACGTTTCCTGTCATTTCCGTCCACAAATAAAACGCTTGCTGTGCATCTTTTCACTCCTCCAGTCACGGGGGAATTAAACGTTCATATTTTTAGAGTTTTTTTCGCGAGGTATTCTTCAAGCTTCTCCGTGTCTGCCGCTAGTTATCCTCTTCTCTCTTTATGTTTTTGAGGGCGCAATGGCAGTGGTGTAGACGACAGCGGTGCCCAATCACAAACTTGCGTTCTCCGTCTCGGCGGACGGATGTTTAGAAAAGAGAGCTCGACTCCATCCGTCCTTGCGGGCCTGCTGGAGAGCCCCCGCAAGGACGCACTGACGCAGAAGCATGACTCAGGCTTAAGGCTGCACAATATTTATGAAAAATTACAATAGCATTATTACCCCCAAATTCCACTACCTCCGCTCCGCTCCGACACGAACGCCGGAGCAAAATCGGTCCCGTTGTAGTCAATCAGAGCAATTCCACTACTGCGGCCGTGCTCCGGCAGTGCGGCGCCGTGCGCCGCCCTCTGTTCCGGCGTCCGGCAAAAATAGAATCGATCCTATTTTCGCCGGAGCACCTCCGCAGTAAATGGACAGAAATCACAACCGCCCAGCAGGAAAAGGAGTAAGCACAACTTCCGTTTTTCACAATAAATCGATAAACAAAAAGCGTTTTTTGTTTCATATGCACAGGTTTAACAACTTTTAACAACTATCAATGGCGGCTGAAGTTTAAATGCACAAAAGTAAGCCATAAATACAGTTTCTACGATCAAAGTAGTCACACTTTGTTGATCCAAACACTGCTGATCTCTACACAAATGATGGGTAGATTAAACAGTTCATTTCGATGCTTCTCCCACACAACGGGTGTTTGGATCTAACTTCCGCGTTTATTGCTCGGACTGTATCGCAAGATCTCGAAAATCCCGCGCATGCTTGTTTGCCCACCTCAGGTCTCCGCACCGGAGCGGAGCCGTTGTAGAGCGGGTACCAGTAAAAATTGAGTTCGGAAGCGAGCGGATGCGGAAGGCGGGGGCGGACCGGAGGTAGTGGAATTTGGGGGTTATTGTTGACTATTGCAGTGATGATATCATTTAGAATTAACTGACATGATCTGTCATCATGATGTTCACAACACCCCATATGTTGGATGTGAGCATTCACGTGAGGGTTACAACCAAAACAAACATGGCGTCAACTAGGGCTGCTCAATTAATCGAATTTTAATCACGATTACGATCTGAGTTTTGAACGATTATAAAAAACAAAACAAGCAGATTATTTGCTCCTCCCACTTGCGCTGCCCTGAGTTGCAAATGAAGCGCTCCTCCCACAGTGTTGCCAACTTAGCGACTTTGACGCTATTTCAGCAGCTTTTCAGACCCCCTTCTTGACTTTTTAAATCTTAAAAGTACCTAGAGAACATCTCAGAAACATGTCTGGTAACCCTTAGCTACTTTCTGGATAACTGTCGTCGACGTTTCCTGCAGGTTAGCTAAACACTCCGCCTGCACTCTGGACCGTTCTTCAGGACACTAGAAAAGGGAATGATGTAGTGATGTGTCGGTCGCTAAAGAAACGGCTCTCGGAGCCGGCTCCCTGTTGGAGTAACCAGAGTGAGTGACACACACACCGTACCTGCAGGCTCCTGAGCAGCTAAAAACGGCTAAATGTGCGCGTGCTAAACACACGTGCAGCTTGCCCCGATTGCTGTGAGACTGGGTTGGGGGGTGCAGCTGTGGTTGGGACAATTATTACATTAACTGATGGACGACTTGCAAATAAATAGTTTATAAATAAGGTAGAAATAAGTTCCTCACGCTGATAAATAATCACTAATCTCTCTGAGGACACGGTGCTAGTGTACTCTCCTACAGCACCTTGACACGACTTCAATAAATGTTAAGCAACATTTTGTGAACATCAATTTATTTGCGTTTATTTGTTATAAATGCCACTGTATAATTCTTGCTGTCAGTATTTGCAAGATATTGGTATTTGGGTCTGTACTGGTTAGACTTAAATGAGTTAAACCAAGGTCTATAGCCCTATGAGCTATAAGTATATTGGTCTTTTTATACTGGGAATCAGGAGTTCTTTTAGTGATCATCTTGTTTCTTATTTATTTTTGTCCTGATTGTGCCCTGAGCAATTTTATGACTGAATAAAAACAAATAAAATCAACATAAATTGAAAAATCGTCCTAAATAATCGTGATCTCAACTTCAGTCACAAAAATCGTGATTATTATTTTTGCCATAATCGAGCAGCCCTAGCGTCAACACAGGATTTTGAGATCACTGCATAAAAAGGAAAGCAGATGTATTGTAGATGGAATGAAAGACCTGTAAACCAAAGATGGAGTGACCATGGAGAGTGTGTCTTGCCCGTTTAGTCAACTCCGCCTACTGGTTACTCGTACATTGCACCGTTCACATGTGTCGCGTCAATTTCGGGGGATGCGCATGAACAATGCGCATCCCCCGAAGGAGGATGCGCATTGTTGGAGGAGGTGTGATTTCACCTAAAATCACACCTCCTCCGCTTGGCGTTTCCAGAACATGTTTGATTATGGCCCTCTATTATGTTGAATCCATTCCACAGTTTTCATTGGTACACTCAATCCATCCACTCAATCCACTTGTGTTTCACACATTTGTATTTTACCGGAATGTTTCATCTATCTTGTAATTTCCATTTTGTATTTTGTATTTTGTAATTTGAATTTCTTTTATTGTTGATTTATTCAGTATAATTACTTACAACTGTACCATGTTCAGCGCTTTGGGCTTCCTGACAGGGTTGCGGAAGGTGCTTTATAAATAAAGCTTTGATTGATTGATTGATTGAACAATGCTTCCAGTTTATGCAAGTTATGAGTGGCTGACATTCTAAACACGCGTACTCGTCAGCAAACAGCAAGTACAGTGGAGCAAAAAAGTATTTAGTCAGCCACTGATTGTGCAAATTCTCCCACTTTAAATGATGACAGAGGTCAGTAATTTTCATCATCGGTACACTTCAACTGTGAGAGACAGAATGTGAAAGAAATCCATGAATTCACATGGCAGGATCTTTAAAGAATTTATTTGTAAATCAGGGTGGAAAATAAGTATTTGGTCAATAACAAAAATTCAACTCAATACTTTGTAACATAACCTTTGTTGGCAATAACAGAGGTCAAACGATTACTATAGGTCTTTACCAGGTTTGCACACACAGTAGCTGGTATTTTGGCCCATTCCTCCATGCAGATCTTCTCGAGAGCAGTGATGTTTTGGGGCTGTCGCCGAGCAACACGGACTTTCAACTCCCTCCACAGATTTTCTAAGGGGTTGAGGTCTGGAGACTGGCTAGGCCACTCCAGGACTTTCAAATGCTTCTTATGGAGTCACTCCTTTGTTGCCCGGGCGGTGTGTTTGGGATCATTGTCGTGTTGGAAGACCCAGCCACGTTTCATCTTCAAAGCTCTCACTGATGGAAGGAGGTTTTTGCTCAGAATCTCACGATACATGGCCCCATTCATTCTGTCCTTAACACGGATCGTCCTGTCCCCTTAGCAGAAAAACAGCCCCAAAGCATGATGTTCCCACCCCCATGCTTCACAGTAGGTATGGTGTTCTTGGGATGCAACTCAGTATTCTTCTTCCTCCAAACACGACGAGTTGAGTTTATACCAAAAAGTTCTACTTTGGTTTCATCTGACCACATGACATTCTCCCAATCCTCTGCTGTATCATCCATGTGCTCTCTGGCAAACTTCAGACGGGCCTGGACATGCACTTGCTTCAGCAGCGGAACACGTCTGGCACTGCAGGATTTGATTCCCTGCCGTTGTAGTGTGTTACTGATGGTGACCTTTGTTACTGTGGTCCCAGCTCTCTGCAGGTCATTCACCAGGTCCCCCCGTGTGGTTCTGGGATTCTTGCTCACCGTTCTCATGATCATTTTGACCCCACGGGATGAGATCTTGCGTGGAGCCCCAGATCGAGGGAGATTATCAGTGGTCTTGTATGTCTTCCATTTTCTGATAACTGCTCCCACAGTTGATTTTTTCACACCAAGCTGCTTGCCTATTGTAGATTCACTCTTCCCAGTCTGGTGCAGGTCTACAATTCTTTTCCTGGTGTCCTTCGAAAGCTCTTTGGTGTTGGCCATAGTGGAGTTTGGAGTCTGACTGTTTGAGGCTGTGGTCAGGTGTCTTTTATACAGATAATGAGTTCAAACAGGTGCCATTAATACAGGTAACAAGTGGAGGACAGAAAAGCTTCTTAAAGAAGACGTTACAGGTCTGTGAGAGCCAGAGATTTTCCTTGTTTGAAGTGACCAAATACTTATTTTCCACCCCGATTTACAAATAAATTCTTTAAAAATCCTGCCATGTGAATTCATGGATTTTTTTCACATTCTGTCTCTCACAGTCGAAGTGTACCTATGATGTAAATTACTGACCTCTGTCATCATTTTAAGTGGGAGAACTTGCACAATCGGTGGCTGACTAAATACTTTTTAGCCCCACTGTATATTTCCAGCCTTAAGTGTAAAAGGGTTCAAGCCCCATCTGTTGCAGTCGTTTTGTCCTTGGCCAAGATACTCAAACCGCCTTGACAGCTGGTGGTGGTCGGAGGGACCGGTGCAGCCTTGCTTCACAGAGAAACTCTGGGTACATTGTAGATCATCAGCATGTGAATGTGTTTGTGCATAGGTGAATGACTGGTTGTGCTGTAAAGTGCCTTGGGGTTGTAGAAGCCTAGAAGGTGCTGTTACAAATACAAGCCATTTACCACTTAGACAGAAAATAATGTGGATGTGTAATCTCCACATCGCAAGCCTGAAGGTGTTCAGCCATGTTGTGGCTAACAGTTAGCATTTACTAGCCACACAATCAACATAGCAGTCACAAGTCAAGGTGGGTGAGTCCATGAAAGCCAATTATCTCTGTGATGTAAAAAATATTGGATTTTTCTGACCTGTCTATTTAATTTCTACACATGAAGTATGAAATTGGAATCAAATACCATTAAAAATAAGACCGTTCAGTAAGGCTGGGTGATACGGCCTAAAAACAATATCACAATATATTGAGGATTTCACCTCGATAACGATAAATGGACGATAACTACAGGTATGCGCAGAAACAAATGTTGTCCTCTAGGTGGGGCTGTCGCATGTATTACACTGAGTCACATTTTTACGTGACCCAAGGTGGTACAGCTTCTTAAAGGGACATGAATGTTGCCAACCTACACACACCTTGCTATTTTTTTATTCTCAAATTTATTTGATAATGGGAAAAGAGTCAGAAATTTCAATATCAATACATTTTCGATTTATTGCCCAGCCCTGCCGTTCTGCAAGAGTGTGAAACTTAAGAGTGATCAATGTGAGTGACCACTCGTATTTCTAAAAGAACAAGTACTACTTGTATCTCAGTGAACGAAACTTTTAATGAGAAAGAGTTTATAGCAAGATGAGATTTAAGGCAAGCCATTTTGTGATTGACAAATCTCTATGCATAAAGGGTGTGCATAAAAAAAAGAGTATGATTTTAAATCAGAACAACTTGGTTTTAACATTCCCTGCCAAAGATTTATGAAAACTAACAACTAAAAACGTAAGAAAATATTGCCCATCTCTGCCTTTTCTCGAGTTGAGCACACACTTTTCCTTCTATCCCCACTTCTTATTAGCTCAGCATCTGAGTACAAAAAGTGCCAATGCAAGGGGCTATATCGTTCAGTATTAAATTACTGATGAGTGCTAAGTCACTTATCACAACCAAAAGCAGGGCTGGCAACAAAACGGTCTATTTATCACTCAGTCCTGAGATATCCAGTGTGATATCAGGCAGCAGACAGTAGAAATGATGGGGTTGGTAGTCTGTGTCAACATGCATTATGGGTTTAGTTTCATTGCTAATGACGGCCTTATGAAGGAAATAGAGGCTTGTACTGTATTATATGATCACCTGAATGTAGTTTTGAAACTTTGATCCTAATCTTTCATTGGAGTCAAAACAAACTACACCTCTGGTGAAAATGAGTGGTCAATCAAACCAAAAATGGGTTAAAATAGATGCAACAACTTTAGTCCAGAGTTATGAGCCTCTAAAGGTTAAGGCAAGCAATGTTTGACACTTTAGGTTAGTTTCTGCGAGAAATTGCAGTCATTGACTTTTCCTTTTGAAACTCAGTCATCCAGGCAGTCTATGCTGATAATATCTCACAATCCAAAGGAATTTCACAGAACACACCCCTCTTCCAAAGCCCCAACTCCCCCTCCTTCAGATAAGGAAGTTGCTGGGGGAGAAACGTTAAGGTAGTCAGCAAAAGCCTCAGGGCATGAAAATAACCTTTCACATAAATGAAGCAACAACAATGCAGAAAATACGCAAAAAATCTTGAACTGTTCCTCTTGGTTGGTGAAATACCTCTCTCCTAATGTAATGTTCAGCGTCCTAACTGTATTTTTAATAGACACTAAGTAGTTTTATATCAAGTTTTAGTCAGTTTATTTGATTATTCACCCTTTAAAGCTTATTTGTTTTACGTGCTGAAAATCTAGTTTATATATTTAACCTTAAAAATCATCAAGTTGAATCAAAAACTTTATTTTGAAAGCAACCACAGTGTCCTTTAACTCAACAGTTAAAACTTTTCACTCACCGAAGAGTTCGTTGGAGATGTTTGACTTGTCCTCCGACATTTTTTCTTCTTCTGCCGAGATAAACGCTGGAGTTTGAGGCCAAACACGGGAGGAAAACGGGCCCAAAACTCTTCAACCGAGAGGAGCAGCGAACATTTGCGAAAAGGTGTAGTCCCGTTCTCTCTGGTTACCTGTCGACACCCAGCTTACCTAACTGTTCCTGCCCGCCACCATCCTGCTGCTATTCACGTTACTCAGCACTGTGGAAAACATGCGGTTTACTGTAGCATTACTCTACACTACCATAAAAGCGCATGGTTGTTTAGAGAAGTGGATCTAATAGTGTCTACAGTCGGTGCGTACACAAAAACAAATCACGCATGTGCATTTCTCAACTCACGCACACTTCAGTGGGACCTCCTTTCCTTTTCGTGCACCAGGTTTGTTTGAGCTCTCAAAAGCGGTACAACACTGACACTTGGTGGTCACTAGTGCACTTTGCACTCCTGTCCAGTACGCAGGTCGGGGCGGGGCATAACGTGGGCGGAGTCAAACCGTCCACCGCGCGGGCGCCATGTTGAAAAAAACCCATGTAGAGGCCGGCCGCCATTTTAGATAGGTCTCCTTCGCCTCCGATGCATTCGTTTCTACAGAGGAACGTGCTTACACAACTAAAAACACATTTTATCAATGTTTTTCACAAAATCAGATATGGCATGGCATGATAATTAAAATATAAATATAATTAAACTAAATAAATTAAAATGTAAAATTCTATCAGTTGCTCATTCTGCATTGACTTTGGAGTACGAGGAGACCCATCATATATGGCGGTGATGCTTTCCAGCAGTCTATGAATTCATGTCTATGATGTCAGCATAACAATGATAATCAAATAACCTGTTCGGTGGATTTCAATAAAATATATAGAAAGCACAGATGATTAAGTTAAATGAAATAGGTGCCATTTTTTGATTCTAATCTGTTCTGATAATCTTATTCTTTATTCTACTCTTTTGGATGGTATTTATATTATGTCTTTTAACTATTTTGGTACCATTATTTATTATTGCATCTGACACCAAGACAAGTTCCTCGTGCTGTAAACTGACCTTTACTGCTATTGGCAATAAGGACAGTTTTAACTCTGGTATGTTACACCTAAGTTTAATTTTTTTAAAAAAGCTTTTGTATGGGGCATCATTCATTATTGTTTATATCATGATCAGGTCTGGTGCCAAAATGTGTTTATGTAAATACCACCAAATACTAAGGCTATATAATATTCTATATACCTTCTTGTTAATAAAACTGTACTAAAACGAAGGTAATACATTTACATTTCCATGAGTCCTCACAGCCTTTTACTGAGGTTCAGCTCCCACTGAACTAAAAAGTGATTACCTAGTCCAGCTGAACAGAAACAGTGAAGTGAAACTGACAATTAATATTGGGCGTCTAACTATAGTAAAGCAGAAATAGCTATGAAAAAGATTCATGCATGTGTCAAAAGTCTTCTTTTTAACTGTAAGTCCATTATTTTATCCATGCTGCCATTATTTTGTTATTTTTTTTAATATTAATTTTACAAGTGGGTGTGAAAACAGTGTAGATATAGACACACATACAATTTTTTGTGCACTCAGTTATGTCAGCTACATAAAGGGGGCAGAGACTGAATTGTGCCATTAACACTTATTAAAACATGCCAGGGGGTGGTGAGACAGTGGACCCAAGGATGCAGACTTAATGTTTAAAAAAGCTAAATTTAATAATGCAAACAAAAGCCAACAGTAGAACACAGGTATAAAAAATACAAACAAAAGAACCAAAAAGCACACAAAAATAGAAAAAAATCCTCTAAAAAACAACTTACTGAGGAAACTGAACACAAAAATTATTACCATAACACTCAGCCACAAACACTCTATATTCTTGCAGGGAAAAAGATTTGATGGGGTGTCAAATCCTGCAAACACCTGCATCTTCCTCTTGTCACAAAGTCCAACACAGAACTCCTCGTAGTCTTCCTGCAAACTGAAAGTGAACAGGAACGGTTCCCTCGCATCTTGAAGCTCCTCATCATCGTCATCCAGGCCATCATACATGTGTATAATCTATACTGCCCTCAAGGAAGCGTTCTCGTCCTTAGTGATGACCTGGGGAAGGGAAAGTTTTCCTTTGAAGGATCTGGTGCCACGCCACCTTAAGGTATCTGTCAGGCTCAAAGTCACAATGTCAGATCAATCAGCCAGTCAATAATGGCACCCCCTGGAGGCTGAGTAACACCACCACCATTCCTGTCTGAACAGTTCCTGTTTGATCAGCTCATCAGCTGAGTGAGAGCACCTGTCTGCAGGACACAAACAAATTAAGGCCTAGTCCACACGTAGCCGGGTTTTTAAAAAAACGAATATCCGCCCCTCCAAAAACTTGCATCCACACCACCTCGTTTTAAAAAAAAACTCTGTCCACATGTACCCGGATAAATACGTTGTTAAGGACATGCCAGACCTGTAGGTGGCAGTACTTCTCCCGTTCTTAACCTCGTCCTTCGTCTGTGGTCTTCCGCAAGGAGCAGTAATTCCGCTTGCAAAAACAAACAAGCAAAAAGCGCTTGGACAATTGATAAAGCGAGCGCAGCTCTGAGGGCATCCATGCTGTCGGCTAGTGTAAACACAGGTCGCACACGTGATGTCAGATTTTTTTTGTCGCGGAAAGTGACGTTGCGGACCTTAAAACTCCGGTTTTGTCTGTCCACACGCAGACGCCCAACACGGAGAAAACGCAGATCTTCACTTTGGCCGGAGTTTTTAAAAAGATCCGTTTTTGTGTGAAAAAACTCCGTTTTCGTGTGGATGACAGGCCAAAACGTAGAAAAATATCTACGTTTTGGCAGATCCCCGGCTACGTGTGGACAGGGCCTTAGTCTGCACCTCAGAAGGAATCAGTGGATGCAGCAAAAAACTGTTCAGGTTGGGGGAAACCACAAAGAGGCTACTGGGATGATACTGACAACATTCTACTGTTGAATAAAGTTAAATGAAATTACCTGCTTAGATTAGATTTAAAATAGTATTTGGAATACAGTGGATGATGCGTTATTTGGACTGTAAATTTAAAATCAGCATTATTAGATAAAATAATTTATTCTTTTTGATTTGTAATTGTATAAATCTATTTCTGTTTGGTTTTCAACCTGATTACCTGATTACCTTGGTACCTGATTACCTGATTACCGTGGTACCTGATTACCTGATTACCGTGGTACCTGATTACCTGATTTACCTCAAATAAATTGAGAACAGGAAATTAGTTGTTTCCAAGCTTACTTTTTGTGGTGGAACAAGTCTTTTTCAAGTTTGGACAGATGCTGAACAGAGAGAAACTTGACAGTTGAAAACCATTGCATTCACGGTGAAGGATCAAAGGCCTGAGTCAAGAGAAAGGGCTGTTTCAACAGCAGAGGAAAATAAAGACAAATAAAGCCTGGACTACGTTCTTGATTATAAGTTGTTGTTCCACACAAGATGGCAGAAGAAGCATTTGGGAAATCAGTGAGTCAGCTGAAGAGAGAAAGAACCATGGCTAAAAGTACTTTCACCAAAGCCGCTAATTCTCTCACAAGGGAAGTGAAAAGCATGATGAAGGGTGAACTACAAGAGGAGTTCAAGAAACTCACATGTGAAGCAAGAAGACTCTTGAGTCAAATGAGGACTATAAAGCTGGCTTATTAGCAGACCTCGAGGCTGAAGATGGAGAAGAGCTTGGCAAGCAACAGGAGGCTGACCTGGTGAAAACTGAGAACGACTGTCAGACAAGGTTGGATGAAGTCAGAGCCCTAATTCAAGAAAAATTATGGTCAAGCTATGGACATGAGCTGATAACTGCAATCCGGGAAGCAGAAAAGACACGTGAGGAGGCTATGGCAATGCCAGTAAGCACCATAAACCAAGATGGATGTGAAGTACAAATCGCCTTCATGAGACAGCTGGTCCAAGAAGCTGCTAAGACCCTAGCATCGTGGGAGATGTGGCTTCCAGCCACAGAGCGACCTGAGCTGGCAGACCAGGTAAGGGATCTGAAGCTCATGAAGAACAAGCTTGAAGCGAAGAGAGTAGAGTTTGCAATAGCAGGAAAAATTGCAAAGGACAAACGAGATGCAGATGTGGCAGCAGCTGCTGCATCAGTGGCCACCAATATGGCTACTACACCAGCCACTCACCCTACGCCCATTGTGAGAATACAGCCAACAAGTATGCCCAGATTTTATGGATGCAAAAGAGAGTTCCACCGATGGAAGAAGGACTGGGAAAATCTACAAAGGCAAGGAGAACCCACTGGCTCAGTGGAAGTGAAAAAAATACAACTTCTGGACAGCATCAATGAAAACATTTCCAGAGACCTACATCTATCAACCTACAATACGGCTCAAGAAATTTTCAGGGTCCTTGAAAACAGATTTGGCAATAAATCTACTATTGCCTTGGAAATAATTGAAGAACTTCAGAAAACACCCACAGTAAAAGCAAACCAGCCAAGAAAGGTTATTGACTTAATCCAAATGGTGGGAAAAGCTCTGGCTGACCTTACAGAACTTGGAGATGTGGGTGCCATTAAGAACCCTCTGGTAACCAAGTCTATTGAATGCAAGTTACCAGAGGCCGTAAAGAAAGATTGGCTGGTGTTTATGGTGAACCCTCGCAACAATGTCACACCAGACAATCATTTTGATAACCTTCTCAAGTTCCTGAAAACTCAAGAAGAAATTCTGGAGAAATTGGAACAACTTGGAGTAACTGAGAAGCCAGATAGGCAAGAGAGTAAGATTGGAAAAATGTTTGCTTCCACACGCTCCATAAAAAAAGGAGGATGTGTCGTCTGTGGAGATGAAAGACAAGGAAAAAGTATTCTTCTGCAAAAGGTTCAAGGAACTGAAGCTGCCTGAGAAAATGAATGCCATTAAGAAGTTGGGAGCATGTAAGCAGTGCTTAGGATGCCACAGAGAAGAGGATGATTGTTTAGGCAACTACCTGTGCAGAAACAAAGACTGCAGAAAGAGGAGCTTGTCAGATCACCACTTTTTTCTCTGCCCCAGAGGAGAATACAGAAGGAGCGGGGAAGACAAAGGTGGAAAAGACGACAAGAAAAATCCCAAGCTTACCGAAGAACAGGAAAAATTCATGGCTGAACTCTCCCCAGAAATGGTAGAGAAGTGCAGACGAGCGTTTACAAACTTGACTGCAAACCCAAACAACCCAGGAAGAGAGAAGATGAGATTAATGGATGCAAACGGCCTGGAAGAGCTACCAGTCATTATGATGCTTCTAGAAGTCACCACCAATGCAGGTCAGAAAATAGGGACCCT